TGTGTTTTGTTGGTGTATATTTAATATACTTCTAATCACTATTTCAATCTTTCTATCTTTCTAATTACTTCTGTCTCTATTTTCTCTTCACTTAAAAAAAGTCACTGATGATGAAGAAATAAATAAACTAAATAAACTAATATTTGGTTTCGTTTTCTACTGAAGTGACACACAAAAAAATCATATATAAACAAGTCATTGAAAGTGCCAGTTATCTTCCTAAAATTGCTGTGTGTCACTGAAGAAAATTTTTAGGCCAACTCCATAAAAGGATTAAAACTGAAAATAATTAGCTCAATCCTTTTGAGGTAGTACAATATGTAGCCCACCAAGTTTAACTGTAAATAGTATAAACATGTAGGAACAGCACTAATAGTTTGACGTATGCCAAATGGGATTGATGCAACAAATTTGTCAATAAAAAGCTGGTTATTTGAATTTTATCCTTATAGGCTCTGTCACACTAGACAACTTAAACCAAATTATGAACATTGTAAAGACATCTACATTGAAGCTGGTATTGAAAAAATCAACAGGAAGCTTTTTTTTTGGAGTGTACATAGCGTAATTCTAACAAATTGATTAAATATATAACTTTTAGCAATTTAGACATAAAAAATGTTTCAAAAGTTGGCATAAGTTGTCTAGTGTGACAGGGCCTTAAAATGGTTTTAGGCAACTTGTGAAAATTTTGTCTGACTTTAAAGATGTCTACACAGAAGATAGAATAAAAAAACTCAACTGGAAGTCTCTTTTGGACRAAAACATACTGCAATGCTAACAACTACATCAAATATATAGCATATGAGTAATTTAGTTATAAAAATGTTCATAAGTTAGCATAAGTTATCTAAAATGTTATGACAAGTCCTTAACGTTATTTTCTAGATGATCCTGATCTGGAGGAGTTCCAGCTGGAAATAGAAGAATCCAAACTGCAGGCCAGTGTTCAATGCACACCCATGCCTGGTAATGCACCTTCCAGCTTGGTGACATTAAAAAGTTGTTTTGTTCAAGATTGTATGCAATACTATAAAACCGAAAGAGCAATTCACAACCAAGTTCGTCCATTTTCACCTCATGAGTTGTTTTTATGTTGCAGGTCCTTTCCGTCCATGCGACTCCCTGCTGGGCAGCTGGATAGTCCGTGTTGGCTTGTGGCTCATTTCCCTGGTGTCTCTGCTGGGAAACTCCATCCTGTTCTTGTCCCTCTTTGGCTCACCTGGCTACATGTCACCACTTCGCTTCACTGTGGCCTGCATGGGGGCATCCAATCTGCTGACGGGGGTGTGCACCTGCACCCTGGTTCTTGTGGATGCTCTTACTCTGGGAGAATTCAGTCAATATGGCGCTCGCTGGGAAGGGGGACATGGCTGTCAGGCTACGGGATGGGTTTGGGTGTTTGCATCTGAGGCGAGCGTGCTGCTGCTGACTCTTGCGGCAGTGCAGTGTGGTGTAAGTGTGGCCTGCGCTCGTGCCTATGGAAAATCCCCATCCCTTGGGCGTGTGCGCACATGTGCATTGTTCTGCCTTACCCTGTCCCTCACGCTCGCCTCGCTCCCACTGTTMGGTGTGGGAGAGTATGGGTCTTCCCCTTTCTGCCTTCCCTCACCCCTGCCTAAAACATCTCCTCATTTCCCATCCTCTCTAGGCTTTCCTTTGGCACTCATTATGATGAACACCCTGTGCTTGCTCATAGTCACATGTTCATACATCCGCCTTTATTGGGAACTTCTTAGGGGGGAATGTGAGGGTCTGTGGGACTGTGCGATGATCAAACATGTTGCCTGGCTAATTTTCACAAATGGCCTCCTCTATGTGCCAGTGGCTTTCCTTTCCCTTTGTTCTCTTCTGGGTCTCCTCACTCTGGGGGAGGAGGTCCTGAAATCGGTCCTCCTGCTCCTGCAGCCTCTGCCTTCCTGTCTCAACCCTCTCCTCTTCTTTCTGTTCACAAGAGACCACACTCAGTTTTTCTCCTGGTCTCACCCCAAAACGCGCCCACAGCTGCGTCGAGACCGCACCTTGGACTCGCTGGTTTCTGTGGCCACGGAAAAGAGCTCCTGCTCCGATTCGTCAACTCAGGTGTCACTGACAGATGCAGACGCCATGTACAACGTGGGGTCATCTACCCATCCCAAACTGGATCCAATCAGATTTTCCAGCTGCTCCTCTACTTTGTCTGTTCCGCTCATCCCTTGCCAAGTGCCCACACTCTCAGTCAGAGAAAGGGAGAGGGCCACTGAATGAGGAAGCTTAAGCGATGGCAAATGCTCAACATGCTTGGATTGAGATGTGATTCGTAAGACTTACCCCTCTGCATTGAGCTTTCAAGACTCACCTCACACATACCCTGCCCCTCCTGGTCAGCTGTCTAAAAATCTGGGAAATGGTGGACATTCATGGACCATTATAATAATGAAGCAGGATCCTTTAGGAGCTATCAATCTAAAAGTTCCTTAAAATCACTATGATGAACTGAAAATGTTGATGAGCTAAAAAATGAGGACAAGAGTTGCTTTTACAGAAAGACCTCTTATGGAACGCCAGTACTGATGAACTCAACTGACTCAATCAAGGTCTTGGAGAACAAAGACAAAATTTAAATGGAGCTGTTTTTTAATGGAAATCAAAGCGTTGTCTAAATCAGTGGCTTACCCAGAGGGAATAAATGTTTATACGGAAATGTGATGAGAGAAGCAACTTATGATACATTGTTKTTTTTACGTGAAGTTATTTCTTTTTAAATAATAAGTTCTATTTTAATAAGTTGTACGTCCCAAAAAAAGGGACTCTGTCAAACACAGCAGGTCATTTTACCAATGTAAGCTAGAATTTTATGTGCAGCAACATTATCATCTGATGAAAGTGCTTCACCATTTTGCTAGTGGCGGCACTACCGTGCTGCGCATGCAGTTTCATATGGTTTACATGTTTTAGGCTCAAATATGCAACTCAGATCAACAAGACTCAAACCRAATGGGACATAGCTATACTTCTGCCGACTTTAAAGTAGGCTAGCAATCAGCATATATACAGCGGGTAAAATAAGTATTGAACACGTCAACATTTTTCTCAGTAAATATATTACTAGAGGTGCTAATGACATGAGATTTTCACCAGATGTCGGTAACACCCAAGTGATATACAAAAATACAAAGAAATCAAACCATAAATGTCCAGAAATTAAGTTATTTGTAATCATGTGGAATGGCACAGGGAAAAAGTATTGAAC